CGACCGCACTACTGGACTGGGTTGTAAATAAAGTCGAATCGGTAGCAGCGTACTTAGCAAACGTTGCACTGGTGATGCTTACCTATTAAGCTTACACGTCTTAGAGAGTCCCTCTTCCATACACTGATGGCTTAATAGGCTAGCTGAGCTGAGACACTCGCTAGAGAACCATGCGCTCGACGTCGATGAGCTATCCTCCGTCGGCGCATGTCGCTTTCGTCCTACTCGTTTCTTTTCTGCATGCAACAATGCTTATGCACCTAGGGAACGTCCCTCAGGATATGCTCTTGTCATTTGCGCCAATCCAATGCCATCACCTCCCAACACCTGCAGTCATTACTAATTCATCTCGATCATGTCCTGGTTGTTACCAAGGCCCGTCCGTAGCAGCCATCGAAGCTAGCTCTTTCTCTCTCTGTCCGCAGCAGCTCGGAGAACATTGGTAGTATGCCGCCTGTAGCCGATTGGCTAGCCAATGCGAGTAAGCCAATGGTATCGTTTTACCTTGGACTGGACCAACCAGAATGACCTTCATTGAAGCGCTCCAGTAAGCACACTACATGATCAGCCAACAAGCTAGTTTTTGCCCATCTAGTAGTTGTTATCGTCAGGAACTTTCACTTAGATCTTTCGTGAACTATTTGTTTTGACCACATATTATGCCTGTACATTTTGTCTCCTGAGTGCTCCATACAACTTCCGCCAGAGGCCTTTGTCTTCTGTTTTAGAAGGTGGCTGTATGATGACCAGAGTGGCTGCATCATTTATCTGTACTATCAGCGGAAACACAACAGTTTTTGACGACGCGAGTGGAGTTATTCAAGATATCAATCTCGGCAGAAGAGCTGAAAGCTATTTTGCTTCAATAGCAGCAGCATTCCGAGGCGGCACAACTGCGTATGATCGAGACTTTCACTCGAACACCATCGCTCCAGTCTACATCAGTCCACAATGCTGATAAGCCTTTACTTGATGCAATAATCAACAGTATCAGTGAGTTTGTCTTTGATCCCGCTTCAGAACCCATTTTCGATGCATGCTTCCTACAATACGAAGGTATTTTCAAGACCCAGCTAGCAGAGCTTGATGATGCGTCTACGGCTGCTGCTACGTAAACTCGGAACTGTGGAGCACGACATACACCAATTACATTTTGCCAAAATATGCTCAAGATTTCAGCTTCGATGAGACCACTTCCCGACTGATACTGGTATGTAGCCTCCAATCTCCCAAGGAGGCCGAGATTCGTACCAGAATAATTGGGTTGTTGGAGCGGGACCCGGACGTCCTGCTGCAAGCTGTCATTGCAGAGGCCCAGAGAATCATCAATTTGAAGCACGATACAGCTATGGTTGAGGATACGAGGGCGCATTCCAGTGATTTCACAGTTCAGTAGATTTCGAGGAACAAGTTTCCGGCCACTAATCACAAGAAGACCACCCAGGGTAAGCCACCATCAGCATGTTGGCAATGCGGCGACTGGCATTTTGTTAGATGGTGTCCATCCAACAAGCATATCTGTCAGGAATGTAGATGTGGGCACAGAGTAACTCATTCAGATCCAAGCAGTTTTTCAGACCCGTTTATGTTGCACGAAAGAAAACCTACGGTGTTTTTGCGAGGAGAGTGTATGCCAATTTTAATGACGATGTCAGAAATCGAAGAAAGTCCATTAATGTCGACATCAATGGATGACATGCGCGGTTACAGATAGGTACGGCCTCAGACATTATGAGCATGTCAGAAAGGCTGTGGAGAACTGTCGAGTCACCAGAAATCAAATCTCCTACTCGGCAGGCGAAAAGTGCATCAGGTGCCGAGTTGCATTTGATTGGTCAAGTGTCGTTATTCCGACGTTACCGCATGGGGAACGATTTTTGTCACAAGCCACCAGAATTTGAATCTTCTGGGTCTAGACTGGATCGAGCGTTTCAACCTACTTGATGTTCCGATCAACCAGATTTGTGCAAGTGTCCAGATACACCAGACAACAGCTCCTCAAACTGTGGATATCGAGCGCCTACAGGAGAAATATGCAGCAGTTTTTCGGGAAGTGCACTAAAGTACAAGCCTCACTATCCCTTAAGCCCGATGCTATTCCAGTGTTTCGCACGAGGCGCCCTGTACCTTACGCAGCAGCATCAATGATAGACCAGGAGCTGGGTCGCTTAGAGAGAGTAGGGGTTATCCACCCGGTGAATTACTCGTCTTGGGCGGCACCTATTGTTGTGGTCAAAAAGCCAAACGGTCAGCTACGAATATGCACCGGTTTTTCGACGGGTCTAAATGCTGCAGTGAACGCCCATCAGTACCCTTTACCGCTCCCAAATGATTTGTTTACAAAATTGAATAGAGGTAAATGTTTCGCGAAGCTGGATCTCTCTGATGCATACCTGCAGATCGATGTACATGAAACTTCACGAGAATTACTCACCATCAATACACATCGAGGCTTGTACCAGTATCACCGTCTCACATTTGGAGTCAAGGCTGCAACAGCCATATTGCAGCAGATCATGGACACAGTACTGACGGATGCTGATGGAGCCACCGCATACCTGGAGAACATCATTGTTGTCGGAAGCATAGCTAATGACTTCTTCGAAAAGTTGGTTCGAGCTCTTGGCCGTGTTGTGGAATATGGATTCAGACTCCGACTTAAGTGTACCTTCTTTATGGATTCGGTTATGTTTCTCGGCTGTATACTCGACAGGAACGGCAGGCAATGAAGATGCCTCCGCCCAAAGATGTTGCAACGCTAAACCCTTTCCTAGGACTCATAAGCCATTACAGCCCGTTCTTATCGCACATGCATCGCTTGCGTGTTCCCCTTAATGACTTGATGACCAAGCATAAACACTGGAACTGGTCCGAACAATGCCAGAGCTCATTTGACGAGCCAAAAAGGCTACTATGTTCCGACCTTCTGCTAACACATTACGATCCAACTTTGGAGATTGTGGTTTCCGCACAAGCCCCGAACTACGCATTTACGCAGTCAAAGCCCACAAGTTCGCAGATGGTTCAGAAAAGGCAATCACACATGCAGCCCGGTCGCTGTCTGCCACAGAGCGAAATTACGGCCAGATAGAGAAAGGAACCTTGGTGATAGTCTACGTTGTAAAAAAATTTCACAAAATGCTCTATGGAAGGTACACTTTTTACTGACTATAAGCCGCTGTTGGCGGTTTTCAGATCAAAGTCGGTCTTTGTCTTCTGGTTTGGAAGGTGACTGTATGGTGACCAGAGTGGCTGCATCATTTACCCGTACTATCAGCGGAAACACAACACTGGTAACGTCAATTCGCCTTCCCCTGTTGTTACTTCCTTACACAAAGTTATCCATATAGCAGCTGCTTGGGTATCCTCGTCGATTCCATACAGCTATTATGCTCGAGCCATCTCAGATTGCACCTCAGAAGTGTAAAGTCCATGCGATGAATACGTTTGGCTGGATACACATGCTGACATGGCTAGGAGCCGATCTCACTGGCGTTCGTGCTGTGAGTTGCTTTGTCCCACCCCATCCCTCTTAGCCTCCTCCTCCTCCAACCACGATCTCACTATTTAGCCTTACATAATTTTGCATAGCAAATTACTTTTTCTGCTGCATAGTAGCCGGCAGGTAGCTTACCGGAACGATGTCCATCCACTACCGGTAGTTCAGCTGGCTTGCATCTGTTGCATTTTCCCCTTTTTCTTTTATGGTTTGCAGCACAGCAGCTGTGTTTCTCACCTCTAGCTAACGTATACAATGATGGTGATATGTGCAGTCCACTACATACTTTCCACTGCGTCCTAGCATTCTTGTGTCATCAGTTCTGTTTTCACAGCCGATGCACAGAATTCGACGCAGACGATGTTGATGTAATGGCTCCAAGTACCGGACGTCCTTCCAATCCGTCGTCCAGTTTCGCTGCCATGCAGGGGAACAGACTGCACCACTGACCGGTACACTGACAGCTTTGTACCAACGATCAGATGATTGTTCCACACCCGCTTTTTAGCTTTCTAAATGCAGCAGTCGCCTTGGATACGCGGATGTCCAGCTCGCTCGTCATATGCAGGTCGGTCGAAAGTATCGTTCCCTAAGTAACCAAATCTGGAGGCGGTTTGCAAAACTTTGTTGCGAATCTGGATTTGCCGTAACCTCACGGATTCCGTTTCTGATGAAGACAGTCTTAGTTGTGTTTATGGTGAGCCCGAACTTGGCTCCTGTTGAAGCAGGAGCCGTTATCATTTACTACAACTCATCCACGCTGTATACAACAAACGTGTGGTCATCAGCAAATAGTAGAACCTTAAAACACGTTTTAGTCATGTGTTGCCTAATGGACTGCATTTTTGAGGAATGCATGAATGAACTGACGTTTCCTGACTCAGGAGAGAAAGATTGCTCAGTCTGTGTGCAGACCACAAATTTTTGCTCTCTACGCATGCTTTCGTCACTTTGTGTGCCCTGCGTCACCTGCATCCATTGCCGTCGTCCTACCGTTTGTCTCGGAGTGACCGCATCGCCGTGCCACGTGGCAGAATTTAGGAGTGTAAACCCAATCGGTCAACTTATGTGGAATATAGTGATGCGGTGGTTGGTGTCACAGCATCTTTACATTTCGGTGGCTCGCCTAAAATTAAGCAGACTCACTTAAATGCTGGCAAATTGGGGGACTCAGCCGTGCATTGGAGTCCTCGCGTAGGTTTCACTCTCCTCTCGGGACGCTGATCAGCATTGTGTGCCTTGCAACCCGTACCTCACCGATTCAAACCTGCGTAGGGAACCAGGCGACCCTCGCAGTATTCTCAGCTCACGCACGACTGATATAGGTTACATGGATGTGAAGCATCGGTACTGCGTAAAGGCGTACTGCTGATTTATCTTTTTTTACGCGCGACCTAGCTTGCCTCACATCTGTCATATCAACAGCTCCTCGACATCGGTATTAGTGACCCGACACTGGGGGATATTGAAAACCCTGTTACACTGATTGTTGCTCATTTTGCTTGGACAAGGTGTCTTGTTGCGGCTTTAATGTAATTTTTCCCTTGAACTTATCTTTTAGTGACGACTATCTCTTCTAACTATGCATTAGTGTACTCTCACCTGGTTCAAGGCAGATTTGTGGGCGCTTCTGTATACTCGAGATATTCATCTGATCCTTTTCTTTAACGGGGCAACACTGGGCTTAGTCCACAGAAGATGCAACCTTTGAGTCTCTGCATTCTGAGGCCGAAGCCGGAGCCTACAGATTCACACTTACCGATTGTGTCTTCAAACGGAAATGAAATTGATGCTTCCCTAGATCTCCCGAAGAAGGAACCACTTTATTCCGAGGCACTGCCTGCTGTTCATTCAACATTCAAAACAGAACAAGTTGGCATTCTTGATTCACTGGAGAGTCGTTACAACCCTGCAACTGGAGAACCTTTGGTATCGGATGTTACTGAACAAGGTAATCACGCACAATGTATATGGACATACATATTACTACATGTAATTTGACATTTAACTACTTACTGTACGTCATCATTACACATTAGCTGGAGGTGCACCTATATTAATTTATCAAACGGTAATCGGTATTTGTTGATTGCAGCTTCATTGTTATGCCAGCAACGTCACACGCCAGCTCATGTTCCATGCAGCATGGCCATTGGCCTCCTGTTCTAAATCAGTTGCCAATTATTCACATGATTTAGCTGCAACCTGTCCATTGTAGTACATTGCGTTTTCTCGTTTTTTTTCGACCGTCTGCGTTCTGCATTTTGTTCCAGAACAGCCAATTCACCGTTGTGAAAGCTGTGAAAAAATCTTTTCAAGCAGAAGCAGCCTCGGAGCTCACGTAAAGTGTGTTCATTTGAGTGAGTTCTGAATTGCTTTCGTCCCTATGCTGTGGCTCTTTTTTGCTTTAAATGTGCCGTGGCATAGAAATTTCCAGTTCTTTGACGCTCTCTATTTCGGTGTATGCCAAAGACTGCCTAGATTATTATACGTATTGCAGGTAATGTGTCCCAAAGGTGTCCCAAGTCGTCCATGTTAGCTGTTTACTTGCAGTTGATGCACACCTTCTCCTGTGTGGTGTATGTAAAAGTGACACTGAACTTTTTCCTGTTGCATGTCGCTTTTTCGTTTTATTCTCACCAATACATTACTGCTTGATCGCATTGTTTCATAGACCCTCTCTTTTCTGGGAGCGAAATATGTATTTTTTTCGCGTGGTGTCAAGTTGGCATTACTATCAGAGTCTAAGGTTTTCAAGCCAAGCAAAACGACGGTACTCGGTCTGCTTTTAGTGTCTCTTCTCCAGTACATGTCGAGTAGTTTTGTGCACAACGCAGCCGCGGCCACAGTGAAGATCTGCTTGCTTGCCTTTCAGTTAATCGGTGATTTTCGCACCTTTTTGTGGGCACGGAAACAACTACTTGTCGCCCTTCTGAGAGCGTTGAACAGATCAGCAAATCCATTAAACAAGAAGCCACCTCCATTGATTGTATGGTCATTTCGAAGTACTCTTTGTATGATTGGATTGGGACGCGCAATCTCAATGTGGACTTTGCTTCGCTTTAAAATGAGCCTTGATAAATTGGATCACTTAGTTTTAGTGGAAGTGTTGCCTGACCCAAAATACTACCATCCCCTACGCTTTTTGATATCGTTTGATCCAATCAGACAGAGGTTAGTTGGGATCTCTACCACTTGAGCCACCGGGTCACGATGGGTAATGCTTGGCACGACAGCTACCGTTGCGCGCGTGACCTTAGGTTAGTGGTTCATAATAGCTCAGATTTGTGAAAGCAACCCGTGAAGGTGTTCAGTCAGTCAGTCAGTCAGTATAAGCTTTATGTACCCATTATCATTATCACCCGTAAATATATCAGAGGGTTACCAACAAAAATATTGCGGTTTTTAATGAGTAGAAAAATGAGACTAGTGCCCTGTCGTAACTCGAGTTATGATCAATGGATCAAGTAAGAATTCCATAATGCTGTACTAAATCTGCGGAGTTTACATCCAATCAAAAACGGACAAGGTTTCGTTGCAATCTTTTTTCACAATTCTTTACAGTTGAGGTGAAATGTTATGTCTAAAGACGGCACCTCGGGGATCGTGCACCATATATCGGCGTTTATATTCAAATGATAAATTGAGTAGACTGGTCGCAGTGACCTTTAAACTTGAGTGAACAAAATATCCATCCAACTCAGGCTATCTCCAACTGATGAGTCCCAACGAGGACGAAACCGCGGTCTTGGGGTGCCAGTGTTGGGATGAGCAACACTATACAAATGTTTTTTTTACTTACGGTCTTTAAGATCGGAATGACCGAGGTCCACCTCAAGTGAACCGAGGTCTCAATAGAGGTTGCTTGTAGCAACCCAAGCATCAGCGGATTCTCCAAGTCCACCTTTAAAATATCCATCAGTTTATTCTTGCAAAACTGCTATATCTACAGTAGGTAATGTACGATATAGTGTTCGACGGAAAAAGCAACGGCCGATTGAAGGGCCCCACCGACTGATGGCGGATTGCTTTCATTCGAATTGATTCTGCAATCTTCCAACGGATGCTCAACGCGTTAATGACGTAGCGGGTGTCGTAGACGATCGAAACCTCGGACTCTAACATAAGCGTAACTTCGTTGTATTCGTGACCCCTCCATGAGCATTAACCGAATCTCCTATGAGCTTCTTTCCTTTACCTTCGGTTTAACGTTCTACTACTGTACAGCGGAAGAAGTCCTTATTGAAGCTGTGACTACATATTCGCCTGTTATATTTTAACAAACGCTCGTCACACTATGCTCTGCGCCTCTTCAGACTTAGTTTGAAATGACCCAGCTGCGCGATGTAGCCGGTTTGAATGTCGCTGGACTCTTTCCTACTGGGGTTACCAGACGTAGAGCAAGCTTCTGACTTAGGTTGTTTCTAGGCTGTTAATCATATTTTAAGCACCACCCGGTGATGTGTTAAGTCATTTGCGTTGCACGATTTAACTCGCGTTCATCGGAAGATGGGACACGAAGGAGCAAGTTATCATCATCATCATACACGGTAGCTACAGGTGGAAAGCAGGTGGAAAAGGCGCACAACGAAAACGCATTGAATTTGGCTCCTAGTCATGTCAGCAAGTGTATCAAGTCAAACGTGTTTATCGTCCTTCGTTCCTCAACCAGGGAGCCAATAGGCTCCAACCGAAGCCAACTTCTTAGAGAGGGCGTTCAATCCTCTTGATCATGTCATCGCTTTGCCACTCCTCTTCTCCCATCCGCACCACCGCTACGAAATCAACACACGTCGCGGTAGGTGATGGGCTGGCACGCGATACGTGACCCAGCTCTCAGAATCTGATACGTGAAATAACGGGGCTCAGCGGTCCGCTTCTTCTTCCGGTGCCATAAACGTGGCATCGAACATGCTCATTATTCATGGAGATCCCACTACACATGATACAAACTGCGAAAGCCCAAGTGGTCGAACCTGACTGGCCTCTTAATGTCGGCTGATCTAATGGGTCAGGTTTAACAACCGTACAGCAAGTTCGAACATACGGGCTTTCCGATAGCCAGTAGGTATGGATCGTGATGGTCTCTAATGTTCGGTCAGGTGATGCCTGATGATCGATTTGTAGCAGTGCGCTTATGTGGAAGCATGTCAATCTGTAGTAGGTTTGATGGCTCCAAATAGAAGCGGATGAACTGGCCTTGACCGTTTGGTTAGACATGGGCCTGTTGTTAGGGCAAGCGTGACGCTCCGCATTTGCAAGTGTGTTGAAACTATACGATAAACCTTTATCAAAGCAAGGTGGGGGGAGGGCCAAAAATTTTGGAAACATTAGTGAAGTTGGAACGGAACGATAAGGTTGAAAAAGCGCAAAAGAGGAAGTAAGAAGACTGGAATGCTTGAGCAGTGGCATCCAAACCCTTATCCATCCTCCTCGATGCAGTAGATAGAGCGTCGTTGTTTATCCTCTGCGGCAGCAAAAGCGTCAAGAAAATCCTTGAGAAAAGATCCATAGTATTGCATGGGCAGGGTACTGTCAGGTTGCGCAGACTTAGACAGGAGAACGATTAGGGTTCTCAACCAAAGCCTTTGGTACAAAAACGTGACCGTTTTATGGAGTAAGGAGCCACCCTCATTCCAGCCCTCAACCTGGAGGACCAGGAGGTTGGATTTTTGTCTGACATCTTTCCATTGACCAAGCTGGTATGAGTGGCTCTGAAGGTGCAAAACGCACCACCCAGTGTAGCTTATTGGATCGCTGTGTCATACAAACCATCGCACCACCTTAAGGTACAGCCTTATTGGTTCTGGGATCTAGCTTTTGCTCCTGTTAAACCGTTAATTCATTGTCGGACGCTTTGAACGAACGGCCATCTTTGTGATCACCATCAGTGTTGTAGCATGGGGAATGTGCATGCCTGCGGTGTGCACAAAAATAAGAGTGATTTGCTGGTCGTCGCAACGTTTTTATCGCTTTGTTGACGGTACAGTAATCATGTTGATACTATGTCTTATTTCATCTTGTCATTTAAGCGGAACATAATAACTAAGGAGGTTTATTAGTGTGTACTCAAATTGGCATTCGCCGGTATCACTTAAAATAATGTACTCGATGATACGGCTGTTGGCATCCAGCAACGAGGTGAATTCACGGTATCAAGTTAGCTCTGACCAGAGACCATTCAGATGCTTACTGGAGGCTGCGATCGGCGCAAGTGGATCGGATTCTAGTAGTCTGCGGTACAGTATTCAACGGGTGAGTGTTTTTGAGATCCTCGGCTACTCTTTTTAGATATTTATCTTGAATCAGGTGCGACAGCGTGCACCACACCATGTTCGTCACTTCAGCCACGATTGGGGAATATTTGCATTAGCTGTTCCAGCTTTGCTTAACCTATTTGCTTGCGTTTACGTTAGCTGGACATCCGTAGCTGATTAATGTTCTTATTGGGCTCACTTTAATGGACGTTGTTGTGCGTGTATCATTGAATTGAGATAGTACTTGAATACGCTGTGTTCTGATTACCATTTCGACTCCCGAGTCATCGACTTTATTTCATCGTGCAGTCGTCCAGGTGCTCAGCATCTACATATTGCATATCGCAAACTCAGTCAAATGAGAGAGCCGTGTATGCTTTTGAGTAATCCAGGTGTAAAAGAGGTAGACACCTTTTAATAGGGGGCTCGGTTGGTTTTCGGTTACCGCTTTGTTGAAATACAGTTGGGTTTTAAACTTCATATGTGCAGCGATCAGTTTGGAGAGCTACGGACCGTTGAAAAATTTTACGCTTTGCTCACGGCCATTCACTTGCAAAACTTAGACCTGACTGTGTTTTAAACACCCCCAGTGGTCTCTGTACAGTGCTTTTATGCCATGAAATTGTTTATTTCATGCAGAATATCTCCCGGGTAAATTTTAACCAAGCAAGAAGGAAATACATCTCAACAGGATAATTTGAATTCGGACATTTCGGGTACTTTTGTCAGCTGTTAACGTACAGTTTGTGGAATGATCATGTTGCTTGTGAGAGGAAACAGCGTTCAAGATCATTCAAATTAACTTTGAAACGATCAGGGAAACATTGACACAGTAGTACGAGCCTGTTACTAAACTCAGTTTGTCGACGAAAATTGTGTTTCAGCCGCCCAATTACTAATGCTTCAGCAAAATGGATCAAGCGAGTATTGATCTGTCGGTTAAGTAGCCTAAACGATTTGCGGAGATTTGGGGATGTAGAGCAGTCTAGAGCGTACCGGCAAATTTGAACCATTCGCTATCATATTTCGTGGAATATGATCAGAAAGACATTTTGTTGTCTTGAAAATTGTTTATTTCTCAGTATTACTCATGACTTCATCGCAATGAGACTTAACCTTACCCTAGTACGATCGTTTGTGTGCCTCAGTGATCCATTGAGCTATACTGGGTGCTGCATTTTTGCACCTTCAGAGCCAATCATATCACATTGGTCAATGATTAGAGGCCAGACAAACTCAGCCTCCTGGTCCTCCAGGTTGCGGGTTGGAATCAGGGTGGCTCATTTTTCCTTAAAATATCGCAATGAGTCTGGACCTTACCAAGATGCGATGGTTTGCGTGCCTCAGAGATCCATTGAGCTATGCTGGGTGGTGCTTTTGCACCTTCAGAGCCACT